CTTGCAGTAATTTATACGTGAGGAAAACGCATATCAAGCTTTTGGCGCCGTTGCCGGGGACCAATTTGATTCTATCTTTGTTGATAGTGTTACCAATTATCTGATTATTACATTAGCCATTTATCTGCTTTATTTTCGATTTTTCATTTGATTTTAACCGATCACTTTGTTTATGCCCAGGCGTCAAAATTTAGAAATCATACCTTACAATCCCGAGATTGAAAGGACATTTTCGAAGACGAAGAGCCACGCGCAGCCAAAAAAGTGAACCAATGGCCGACAATCAAGGAAATCCTGAGCACCAGGACTTTGAGTACGGTCGAGTGCCCGGACGAGAGCACGATCAACAAAGACCGAACCTACCACCTGAGCGAACAATGCGAGAATACCAAACTGCAGTTGTGAATGAGAACTATTCGGGAATCAGGAAACCGACGATAGCCGCAAACAACTTCGAGCTAAAGATGGGGCTCATCAACATGGTCATGGCGAACCAATTCTCCGGAGCAGCCACCTGCGGATCCGAATCTCCATCTTGCAAATTTCTTGGAGATTTGTGACACAATCAACGTTAATGGTGTTTCCGATGATGCTACTCGGTTGAAGCTATTTTCATTTTCTGTCAGAGACAAAGCGAAGAGTTGGCTTCTGAGTCTTAATCCTGGATCACTTACTTGTTGGGAAGAATTATCACAAGCCTTTCTGGCGCGATTCTTTCCACTCTCAAAGACGACACAACTACGAAGAGATGTTGGCAACTTCAGACAAATGAGCCAAGAGCCGATGCACGAGTCATGGGAGAGGTTCAACGACTTATTACGACAATGCCCACAACACGGATTCAACTCGTGGGATCAAATGGAGTTGTTCTACAATGGGCTCGATCAACCCGCCCGATCTCTAGTCGATGTTGCTTCAGGTGGATTGTTGCAAAACAAGACTCCCACGGATGCTCGAGACATTGTCGAGCGAATGTGTAAAAATGCTTACCATTGGCCGTCCGAATGAAGTGGTACACAAAAGGTGGCCGAAGTCCACCAACTCAATCCATTAGCGTCGTTATCAGCACAGTTAGTGACCATATCAAACCAGGTCGCCCAATTGTCAGTTCGAGGGCCACAAACCGAACAAGTAGCAGCAACGAGTACTTCACAAGCCACAAATAACGATTGGGAGCAGGCACACTAGATGAACAAGTTCAACAATTTCCGGGGAAACAATAATCATAATCAAAACCCTACTCACTACTACCCAGGAATTCGGAATCAAGAGAACTTCTTCTACGCCAATCCAAAGAATGCTCTCCAACCACCTTCTGATTTTAAACATCAAAGAGAGCAACGAGGGCCGACTTACGACGAGCGTCTTCTCCTAAAAGAACAGGAGATGGAGGGCCTGAACTCAACGATGAAAAACATGGAAAAGCAAATAGGGCAAATTGCCCAATCTCTGTCCACGATGGCAAATGGTGGATTTCCAAGCAATACCGAAGGCAATCCGAAAGAAAGTTGTCAAGCCATAACCACCCGAAGTGGTATGCAAATGACCGATCCTCCTTATCCGACAGACGAGTCACCAAAGCCAGCTGTACAACCGACTCCGGTCGAGCTGGAAATCAACATTTCAGGGAGTAGTACAAAAGAGGCTAGTAAGCCCAATAACATTTATTTCCCTGATAATGCTCCTCTTCTGATAACTCCTATTCTGTATCGAGAAAGATTGAAAAAGAAGAAGCTCAAGGATCAATTTACTAATTTCATCGAAAATATCAAACAAATTCGAAACAACATCCCTTTAGCAGAAGCCTTTGAGGTAATGCCAAACTACACCAAGTTTATGAAGGAGGTACTATCCAAGAAAATACGAATTGAAGAAGACACGCCAGTGAAACTCACGGCAACTAGCAGTGCCATTCTTTAGTCGAATTTACCTCGGAAAATGAAAGATCCAGGGAGTTACACTATTCCTTGTATTATTGGAATTCTACTTTTGATACAGCTTTATGTGATTTGGGGGCAAATATTAATTTGATGCCTATGTCTGTGTTTATAAAACTGGGCTTATGAAGATTTGAACCGGTCGTGCATGACTTTACAATTAGCTGATCGTTCATTGAAATACCCCGATGGGATTGTAGAAGATGTGCTAGTTAAAGTAGACAAACTCATTTTGCCTGTTAATTTTGCGGTACTTGAAATGCCTGAAGATGATGAAGCACCAGTCATTCTAGGTTGTCCATTCTTAGCCACTGGTAAGACGATGATTGATATGGACTTATGATCTTTGAAAATTAGGGTAAATAGGGACGAGGTTGTTTTTAATTTGATGAATGCATTTAAATACTCTGAACCTGTTGAGCATTGCAGTAGAATAGACGGATCGAGGACTGTGTTTCCTCTATTTCTGATTTGTATGAATTATGTGATTCTGTTGAGCACTGCATTGTTAACTCTATTGATTTGCATTATGCTTCCTCTGAAACTCCAATTGAAAATGATGTACTGGATTATGTGTTGTTTCTTGAGTGTGCCAAGATTTTGGGCATAAACGACGTAGGAGTCATTCCTGAGATACCAGTTAGTGTGAACACGGCCCCCGTACTGAATTGAAACAATTACCGGATTATCTTTGTTATGCTTTTCTTGGAGAAGACAAGACATATCCGGTGATCATTTCTTCTAGTTTGAGCGAGGCCGAAACAAAAACACTGTTGGAGGTCCTTAGAGAATATAGGTCGGCTATAGGTTGGTCTATTGAAGATATTAAGAGAATTAACTCGTCTATTTTCCAACACAAAAATCTAAAGACGTCTAAAAACCGAAAGTCAAACCTCAGAGGCAGTTAAAACCCTCAATGAAAGATGTAGTAAAAAAAAGATCTTAAAACTGTTACGCGCCGGTATGATATATGCAATTTCGGATAGTGCGTGGGTCGGTCTGGTACAAGTTGTGCCAAAGAGAGGTGGGATGACGGTTAATGTGAATGATAGAAATGAACTTCTTCCGTCTAGGACTGTCACTGGGTGGCGTGTGTGTTTTGATTACCGATTATTAAATGCAGCCACTAGAAAAAAACATTTCCACCTCCCCTTTATCGATAAAATGCTGGATAGGTTAAGAGGATTCGAGTATTACTGTTTTCTAGATGGTTATTCGGGGTACAATCAAATCTCAATCGCCCCGGAAGACCAAGAGAAAACTACTTTTACTTGCCCCTACAACACTTTTGCATTTCGTAGGATGCCTTTTGGTTTGTTTAATGTACCTGCTACCTTTCAACGATGTATGATGTCTATTTTTCATGATATGACAGAAGACTTTCTTGAGGTGTTTATGGAAGATTTTTCTGTGTTTGGATCGTCTTTCGATCATCGTGTAGTACTTGTTTTCAAAAGATGTACATAAACGAACCTTGTTTTAAATTGAAAAAAATGTCATTTTATGGTTCGTGAAGGTATTGTTCTAGGTCACAAGGTCTAGAAAAAGAGTCTGAGGTGGATACGGCAAAATCAAAACTATTGAAATTGCCTCCACTGAAAGATGTAAGGGGGTTAGAAGTTTTTTAGGGCATGCTGGGTTTTACCGTAGATTTATTAAAGATTTTTCGAAAATAGTGAAACCATTATGTCATTTGCTTGAGAAAGAAGTCGTCTTTTATTTCGATTCAGCTTGTTTGCAGGCTTTCACGGTTCTCAAGGAGAAGCTAACCCAGTCACCAATTATGATCATTCCCGATTGGGAAGAACCATTCAAGATCATGTGCGATTCGAGCGACTATATTGTAGGTGCAGTATTGGGACAAATGAGGTACAAAATCTTCAAGGCCATCTACTATTCCAGTCGTACACATGACCTGGCGCAAAAGAATTATTTGACGACCGAAAAAGAAATGCTTACAGTAGTTTACGCCGTTGACAAGTTCAGACCGTATATCTAGGGCTCGCAGGTGATCACCTACACAGACCACGCAGCTATTCGATATTTGTTCGCCTAGGACGTCAAGCCCCGACTCATCAGATGGGTACTACTACTCCAGGAGTTCGACTTGGAGATCAGAGACAAAAAGGGGAGCGAGAATGTGGTGGCCGATCATCTTTCCAGACTCATATTAGACGAAGCTCTAGCCGAAGGAAACATTCAGGAATCATTCCGAAACGAGCAACTGCTCGCCATTAGCACTCATACTCCGTGGCATGCTGATGTGGCCAACTTCTTTGCCAGTGGGATCATTCCTGACGGTCTATCTTATCACCAAAAGAAAAAATTCCTTTACGACAATCGTTTCTTTCTGTGGACGAGCCATTGCTATTCAGAACCAGCCCAGATCGAGTTATCCGGCGATGTGTTCCGGAAGACGAAATACACGAGATCCTCACACATTGCCACTCTTCACCTTGTGGCGGGCATCATGGGGAATCTCGCGCAGCCGCCAAAGTTCTGCAGTCAGGCTTCTTTCGGCCAATCCTATTTGGAGATAGTTATGAGTTCCTGAAACGGTGTGATCGATGCCAACGGACCGGGAATCTATCCAACAAAAGCCAAATTCCACTAAATAATATGCAAGAGGTAGAGCTTTTTAATGTTTGGGGCATAGATTTCATGGGGCCATTCCATCCTTCGAATGGAAAGTTGTACATTCTGCTTGTCGTGGACCATGTGTCCAAATGGGTGAAACAATTGCAACCACTGCTGACGATGCTCGTACGGTCCTCAAATTCTTCCACAAGAACATTTTCTCAAGGTTCGGGACACTGGGGAAATTATTGGTGATGAAGGATCCCACTTCTAAAACAAACTGCTCGCCAATCCACGAATAAGTTGGGGATCCGAGACAAAATTGCGCTAGCCTATCATCTGCAAACAAATGGCCTTGTTGAGTTGTCGAACCGAGAAATCAAACCGATTCTAGAGGAGACCGTGAGCACAAACTGAAAAGATTAGGCGTTGAAGCTCGATGATGCACTTTGGGCCTATCGGACTGCATTCAAGACACCGATTGGGATGTCTCCGTACAAACTTGTGTTTGGGAAAGCATGCCACCTGCCAGTGGAATTGGAGCAACGAGCTTATTGGGCAGTCAAAAAGCTCAATTTCGATCAAACAGCTACCGACGATCGTCAGTTGCTTCAACTCAACGAAATGGAGGAATTCCGAAACGATGCTTACGAGAATGCCAAGATTTACACAGAAAAGACGAAAAAGTGGCATGACAAAAGAATTTCAAAGCGAGAGTTTCGGGCAGGTGACCAAGTCCTACTATTCAATTCTCGGCTACGACTATTTCTGGGAAAGCTCATGATATGATCCAGCCATGGATCGAAGTCAATGCCGGGCTAAACAAAGTGCACACTCGTATTGTGCATTATGATGAGATGGTGGTGTCGAGGTTTGACGCGTTGGGGCTTCGAACTACAAAACACCCACATTCATTTACGCTTCAATGGGTGATAAATGATATGTTCTGCGATGCGGTGCAGAGATGTGTCGATTTGCTCCCAAAGAGAAGGATCGATAATGAGGTTTATTTCATTTACATTCCTTTATATATTTGTCCGGATTCGAGGACGAATCCTTTTAAAGAGGGGGACTATGATACGATCCACACAAGCTCAAAGATGAAGAATTGGAAGAAGAGAAAGCGAGTGAAATTAATGGAGATGTTCGTGTTGGAACTGACAATATTCTGTACAAGTGAGTTCTTTGAAGAGTTCTTGGTGAGGGATTGGAAGAAAAGATAAAGGGAATTCATCGGACTAGCCAAATTCCATGCATCCGAGATTCTCGCCTATTTCTGGCAGTTTTACCATGCGAGTTATAACTCTCTCATATCACGTCCGATTTAGGTGACTTGAATTGCTACGGAAAGCCAACGGAAAGATCTAAAACTTTGATGTTTTGATCCCAGAGAGATTTGAAAGGAACAGGTCAGAAATCGAGCTTGAAGTCAACACACGTGCACAACCAAGTGTCTACTCGAGTTATGAAGAGTGTTCGTGTGGTCGACTTGATGTCTGGAGTTTATATTTTATTGAATTATGTTTTTGTTTAGGATTTATATTATTTTGGTATTTTAGAGTCCTTTTATGGTTATAGTTAGCTTAATTAGATGTTTCTTTATTATAGTTTAGGTAGGAGTCGTTTTCCTTGTGAAAAATGAGTTTTTTTAGATCTTATAAATAGGTTGCCAATTTGGCCTATTTTAAGGGACGATTTTTTAACGAATATTTGAGTATTTTGAGAGTTAATTCTCCTTCGCTGTTCTACAGCAATCTTCGGGATTTAACAAGTGGATTCTTGTAATTTTCTTAGCGCCATAATATTGGTTTCTGGTTCTTTATAACCACGGGGTCAATATTATAATTTACCTTGATAATAATGGTTTCTAGCTCTTTATAGCTATGGGGTCATTATTCCTTACTTCCGCCAATCTGAATCCTTTGTTTTTGGATGTCATCGATCTTGCTTCCGCGTAAAAGTATTGGGCTTCGTAACAAGTTCTACGTGGTTCGTATCAGCTCAAGTCCCGTTGGTCAGAGCCATTCGTATACTGAGTGCAACCCCACAAGGAGTTATTGAAATCCGAGGACGAGACGGTTCGTCATTCAAAGTAAATGGTCAACGAGTCAAGCATTACTACCCGAATGGTGTTCCCGAGGAAATGGAGCGTGTCACACTGATTTTGTCCTAGTAAATCCAAACAAAGTCGAGCCGTCGACTGTAAAACAGGTGTTTAATGGGACACACCCCATTGTTGCTCATATTGTTTTGGAAGATTAGACAACCAAGATCGCGATCCAACATTACGTATCGCGATCACGAGGGTCTTCCAGTAGCAAAAAGTCACGGACCCAGATCGCGATCCAATACACCATCTTGCGATCTGGGGCGTCTTACAGTAGCCAGAAGTTGAGGACCCAGATTGCGATCTAGAACACTGTATCACAACAGAAGCAAAAAGTTGCGGACCCAGATCGCGATCCAACATTCCGTATCACGATCTGGGGGGTCTTATAGAAGCAAATATCCAAGAATCCCGATCGCGATCCAGAACACCGTATCGCGATCTGGGGCGTCTTACAGTAGCTAGAAGTCGCTGACCCAGATCGCGATCAAGCCATGCGTATTGCGATCTGGGGGTTTTACACTTAGTAAAGAGGAGACCAAGATCCAGATCGCGATCCAACACATGTGGACGAGAACAGTTACAAATTCAAAACCATCTTTCTTTTTTGCTCACTTTTTTTTTTTTACAAACTCGAATTCCTCTCTTCCAAAACCTCAAAACTTCAATTCTCTTGCAATTTTTCTCATCAAACTCGCATCTTTTTAGAATTTCATCAATAATTAACGCTTATTGCTTGTTTTAATTGAGAATTGTGGGGGAATCTTCAACCAAGGTATGTTCTTGACCCATTTTTTTGAGTTTTGCATGTATTTTCGAATTTCTTCCAAATTTTTTGTCTTTGTCCCTTGATTCTTCATTATTTACGATTGTACATGTTTGTGTACTTGATTTTGGGACTTGAAAATATGACATTATGTAACACCCCACCTTTCCAAAAACCCGAAAACCCTAAAACCCGAGACTAATATTTCTAACTTAAGAACCCTTAGGTAATATTATTACGTGATAATATTTATATGACTTACGTGAATTTAATTATATGCATTACGTGAATAATTACGTGCGTTATTATGTGGTGATTTCATGGTATTTATTTTGTGAAATTTGTGAGTGGATATATATGTGTGAATTATGTGATTGAAATACTATGGAATTTCGTGATTTACGTGGTTTATGTGAATAATCGCGTATGTTATTTATTTGATAAATTATTTGAAAATTATGTGGAATATATATATATATATATACATATATATATACATACACGTGCATACATGCATGCATACATATATATACATATATACTAATACTTGCATTGTATGTTAGAGTATATTTACATATATATGATATATTTATTTATGTATGTGTGTGTTATCCGAAATGTGTGTGTGTGTTATCCGAAATGTGTGTGTGTGTGTGTTATGCAAGTGGATTTAATTTAAATAAATAAAATTAGTAGGATTTTTGCATGACTTAACACTTGTCATCTTGTGATCATTTCCTTAATCCACACTCAAGATATGAAAATACACTCTTCTAATTCCTTCTTGCAACACATCACCCATTACTTGTCTTCCTCTCCCCCATTCCACCGAGACCTCACCACCACCTCCATTCTTCATCTTCTTCCACCTCATCTCTTGTTTTTCAAAGAAAATGAAAAATTACTCTAAAATTCCCCTATTTAACCAAGGACTTGGAGTAGCCTAAAACATCATTCACCAAGAAAAATATACATCTCACTTGAAAATCCACTCCATCTCCTTCACCATCAAAATAGTTTGGCAAGACCTTGGCATCAACCTTTGAAGCATTTCCTTCGATTTTCCTCCATCTTTTCTTTCGGCTTCTTAAGGTAAGAAATTTCGATTTCTTGCTGCAATTAAAGGGCATCAATAGTATGAAATTGATTTTCATAAAATTTTAAAAGATTGGGAATGATTTTGAAAAATTTGGGGCTTTTTGAAGAAAAATGGAAAATGAGTGTTTCTTGTTAATTTCTTGTTCTTGCATGCATCATCTATGTTGATAGTGGTTAGATACAGCATTTATTGGCCAAAAGCCTTAAAAATTTCAGATTTCAAAAAGGGGTTTTCAAGAAAATGAGATTTTTAACTTTTTGTGGTTGCATGTGTAGATCTTCGAAAGTTTGGGCCAAATCTGTAATTTTTGTAAAGTCAGTCCGAAAAGTGTTTTCAAAACTGTTTTCCAGCATTTATTGAACAAAAATTTCGGATTTAAGAAAGTTTTGTAAGAAAAAGTGGTTTTTGAACTTTTAGTGGTATTGCATGTGAAGATCTAGAGAGTTTGGGACCAAACAACAGCAAGAACACTAGATACAAAAGATACAGAGGAGTGTAGAAATAACACTCAACGTTTACGTTTACGTGGATTTTGTTTTTCATGAAAAAGTTGATTTTGAACTTCTAGTGTGGTTGCATGTGTAAATCTTGAAACTTTAGGGTCGAAACTGCAATTTCCAAAAAAATATCTCATTTCTAAAGTTTGGATCTGTTTTCCAGTGAGTATTAAATGGGGAAAAAGTTTTACTTACAAAGATTTCGAAGTAATTAAGATTATAATAGAGTTTTGGATTTTTAAAAGGAAAAAATGGAATTTTCTAGTTTTTAATTTCAAGAAAATTCTAAACTTTGTGAAAATTCAAAATAATTTCAGAAACTGAAATTTGGGTCAGTTAGGAGTCCTAGTATTTAATTTGGGAATTTTTGGAATTAGTTTGCTATTATTTCGAAATTAGGATAACTTGCATGTCAATTATTATGTTTTGTGCTTTTATTTTCATGTCTTTGATTTAATGACTTTGAGTGATGAGATTTGGATTGTGTACCTTAAATGGCTGCATGGATGTGTTTATTATTGCTGTGAGAATTTATTGGAATGGATTATTACCTAGATGTGGTGATAAGTTCATTTAATGAAAGGTAAAAAAAAGGGGTGCTTACTTTACAAGCATGGTTTCATATTAAATGGTGATGTTTAGTGTGTTGGCTGCATGTGTGTGTGCTGAATATGTGTGTGTGTGTGCTGAATGTGCATGTGGTGTGTGCCGTGTGTGGTTGTGTGTTTATATGTGTGAATTTGGGGATTCTTGCCCAAATTATAATTATGTGGTAAATTGTGATATTTGTGTGACTTTGTGGTACTTGATTGATGTTTGTGATGTTATGTGTGGGTCATAAGCATGATTTCGAAAAGTTGCATTAAAAGGTTTTTAAATTGAAAGATTAATGGAATATCGGGTAATAAACAACTCGGATATAGTGGGCCGGTATCCAACTAGGATGATGTGTGTAGTGGTTTGATCCCCACTTAGTGAAAACGGGCTCGTAACAGGTTTATTACTCAGGTACAGAAATTAATCTTTCACGGATCCGACAAAAACGAAAAATGTGTTTTTCATGATTTTCGTAAAAAGGGCATTTTAGTCATTTTGCATAAGTACGTGATTTTGTGTGAATGATGTGTTTTCGTGAATTACGTGATTTGACCGATTGTCTTGTGTTGTGGTACGGAACGTGGGTAAGAATGGGTATATAATATTATATGTTATGTATAACGTATTTTCAAAGTTCGATATTACCCGGATTTCTTACTGAGCTTTATAGCTCATATAGATGTCTTTTAATTGCAGGTAGTAGTAGTTCTCAACCGGGATGGGTCGAGTAGCGGATCGAGGTCTTGCCCGGGATTTTGTTGGAAGTTGTACGAGGACCTATGAACGATGCCATATATTTTGGGGTTTTCTTTTGGTGATGTAATATTAAACCGTAACATTTTCTTTTCGTACCTTTTGAACTCATTTTCCGGTATGAATCGTACTTAACTCCGATTATAATATAGTAAGTTTCGTGTTTTGCTATTTTCACGCCTCCATTAGTGAATTCCGATTTATTCACCAAAATAACCTTTCTAAACTCTGATTTCTTCTCGAACCGAAAACCGATAGTGATACTGTAGCACTCGAACGAAAAAATTTCCCCTCGAAACTTGTTTCCAAACGAAAACTTTATTCGGCTAGAGTAACCTAAGAAAAGTTTTTTTTTCGAAGGTGCAAAGTTTTCAATACCCAAAAGAAAATATTTTTGATAATTGCATTTTCGCCCCATTCCAAAGTTTTAAAAATTACAAAGAGATCCTTTGCTTCCGCTAAGTATATAGAATTCCGACAAACCGGTTCGATTTATCGCCCGACTAATAGGGGGGTGCTACAGACAGTGGTATCAGAGCATGGTTCATAGATACTCGTACGAACTTCACGGGTTTAGAGACTACTCGAGACGCGAAGCTCGGACCATCCGGTAAAGTATGTGCATTATTTTCTTTATGTGTTTTAATTACTTTACTTACTAATGATAATTAATATAGAAATAATGGCGAGACGTATAACCCGAGGAAACTCGAACACTCCCACCAATGAACCACAAGACCCCAATCAAACCATTAACGATCTTTCGAACCTAATCCGTGAACAAGCCCAAAACCACCAACGTCAAATCGAACAACTCCTCCAACGTAACCAAACCGCGCCCCAAATTAATGCGCATCAAGCTATATACGAACGATTCCTCCGAATGAACCCATCCGAATTCCACGGTGGAACCGACCCCACCATAGCCGAAGAGTGGATCAAATCTCTCGAAGTCATATACGACTACATGCAAATGACCGACTGCGATCGCGTGCACTGTGCCATATTTCTACTCCGAAATGAAGCTCGTCACTGGTGGGAAGGAATCAAAGAAGGAACGAACCTCGAAACTTTGCCATGGACTGAATTCAAAGTTCAATTCTTCGAAAAATATTTCTCGAAAGACGTGCGAGCCCACAAACTCAAAGAATTTCTCGAACTCCGACAAGGCGACTTACCGATGATCGAATACATTCGCCGTTTCGAACGTGGCTGCCTCTACGCCCCATTCATCGCCCGAGACGCCGAAGAAAAGAAGAACCATTTCATTCGTGGCCTCCAACCAGAAATCCGTAGAGACATTCGTATGTCCGACGCCTCAACTTTCCGCCAACTCGTAGACAAAGCACTCATG